CATCTCAAAAAAAAAAAAAAAAAGAAAGAAAAAGGAAAAAAAAGAAAAAAGAAAAAGAAAGACTGCAAATCTGGACTTTAAAAATCTGAAATATTCTAATTTTAAAATGTGGTCCAAAAAAAATCACATTAAAAAAAATGTTGGTACGGATTTGCTAGCTATAAGAAAAAAAGAGGAGAAAAAATGTAAGCAAATCTGTATGTTTTATCTGTAGGCCACAAATTTGCAATGACCTACCACTTGCCCAAAAGACAATTTGTACAAATTAGAAAAATGCACTTATTTCTCAGGACAACTCACTGCCATTTTTCTAGAAAATCAAAACAGCTATACACATCCATGATGTACAGGATGCTTCCTGGAGCTGTGCAAAGCATGAACTACAAAACTCTAAGTGACCCCTGCATTTGCAGCTGCCCATTTAGAATCAACCCTCACTGCCCAGAGCAGAGCTGAGGCCCTGGTATTTTCCATGTGTAAGAGCCATGGGTGGAGAGGGATGGGTATGCAGTGGAGGGCAGTCAGGGTGGGGCAAGGATGAGACGCCACGTCCTATGAGGAAACAGAGCACACGACCAGTAAAAGAAATGACTTAGGGGAGGGGCAGTGCTGTCAGTAGTAAAGAGTTGGAACAAACAAATCCCATTCGATTCTGACGGCAGAACCATGACCGCTAAGTGGAAGCTTCAACAAGGAGAACAATTTGAGTTCAAGGAAGATCTAATAGTGGTACTGAATAAGGATGTCATGTAAGATAATGAGACCTGTCACTGGTGGTTTCAAACATCAGACACAAGGCTGGAAATAGGGCCTCTAAAATTCCTTCCTAGGCCAGATGTAGTGGCTCATGCCTGTAATCCCAGCACTTTGGGGTGCTGAGGCAGGTGGATCACTTGAGGTTGGGAGTTTGAGACCTGCCTGGCCAACATGGTAAAATCCCATCTTTACTAAAAATACAAAAATTAGCCAGACGTGATAGTGGGCACCTGTAATCCCAGCTACTTGGGAAGCTGAGGCAGAAGAATCACTTGAACCTGGGAGGCGGAGGTTGCAGTGAGCCAAGATTGCACCACTGCTCTCCAGCCTGGGCAACAGAGTGAGACTCTGTCTCAAAAATAAATGAATAAATATAAATAAAATTCCTTCCAACCAATAATTCTAGATCCTTTCTAGATCTTTTCCTTTGCCCCAGGGTGGGGACATATGTTGACAACCCTAAAATCAGAGTCTGTGCTCTGTTGGTTGGGGGGCATTTGCTAGGAGGCCTGAAGCTTTTCTCAGCCTCAATCTTGGGAACCAGGCTCTGACTCTTACTGTGACTTGGCCTCTTCCAGCCTCGGGTGCACTCACACACAGAATGGGGATAGTACTGGCCATCAGGAGCCTGAATGAGACTCCGCGTATGAGGCTTCGAGGCCAGACTCAGACACCGGGTGCTCAGGGAGCAGGTGGTGGGATTCCCTATCTACCCCCTGCACAAACCTGGCTTGGCCGCCTGCTGTTTCTGCTTCTCCTCCTCCTGCACCTTCATCTTAGCATCATACTCATCAGCAAGTGCCTTCCACTCCTTGCGATTGTTGGTGATCCCGTCCAACATTGGGGTGATCTCTTTGTGGAAACGGGAGAATTCCTAGAAGAGAGAGTATGTGCCTCTGGCGCAAGGGCCATGCCCCAGGGTCTGGGTTCAAGTGAGTGGCACAGCTGGAAGTGTCCACCATTGGAAGGAGCTGCTTTGGGGTAGCAGGCCTCTGTCACCATGCTGATTCTACAGGGCCTCCGGTCCATACCATCCTGTGCCTCCCCTGCTTAGAAGCCTCCTGTGGCGCCCCTGTCCTTTAGCAGGAAGTGAAAGCCCCTTACTATGGCTTTCAAATTCCATGACCCAGTGTCCTCCTGCCCTTGACCATCTTGCATTCTCCAAGCAATCCACAGCTCTCAGTTCCTGGTGTGTATCCTCTATTCTGTGGGCCTCACACAGGCTGCTCTTTTTTTTTCTTTCCAAGGCAGGGCCTCACTGTTGTCCAGGCTGGAGTGCAGTGGCACAATCGTAGCTCACTGCAGCCTCAAACTCCTGGGCTCAAGCCATCCTCCCACCTCAGCCTCCCAAGTAGCTGGGACTACAGGCGCATGCCACCACACCCAGGTAATTATTTTATTTTTGTAGATATGGGGTCTCCCTATGTTGCCTAGGCTGGTCTCAAACTCCTGGCCTCAAGCGATCCTCCTGCCTTGGCTTCTCAAAGTACTGGGATTACAGGCTTGAGCCACCATGCTCATCCCAAGCTGTTCTCTTTGCTGAAACAGTCTAACCTCCCCTTTTCTCCCTTGAGGCCACCACTTACACATCACTTTCTCCAAGAAGCCTCTTCTGACCCCCCTAGGTAAATGGAGTCCCCTGTTGGAAGCTCCCAAAGCTCTCTCTTACTACCTCTTGCTTCCTTGTACTTGTAATAACTCCCTTTGCTTGTCTCCCCCAGAGGCTGAGAACCTGGAGAGGGCAGGGATATTGGCTACCTTGCTCCCTGGGGTGGGCCTGGCCTAGCACAAGGTCTGGGACACAAGGATACTCAGTAAATACTTTCTGAGTGAAACTGAGATGTTGAGAAGATGATTCTTAAAGGCTCTTACAGCTCTTTGAGCACAGCACATTACAGTTTATGAAGCAATTTATCTCCTTTGGTCCTCAAATTCCTGTGAGGTAGGAAAATAAGATTCATCACTTCTACATCTTTAGGTAAGGAAATTGAGATGCAGATTGATGGAGTGGATTTGCCTAGTGTAAGAACAGCAAATCCAAGGCCCTCTGCGAAATGCCAGCCAGAGCCGACTGTGTTCAGAGATGTCTAGGTTCTGGTCCAGGCTCTGCCACAAACGATGTGACCTTGGGCGGGTCACTACCAGAGCTTCCCTTCAGCCATGAAATCAGGACAGTAGTAATACCTACCCCCCAGCGTGGTTTCGGTAGTGCACATAGAGCACTTAGCCTAGTCTCCCTTACTTAATAATATTCCTGATGATTAAAACTCATGACCTCAGCCGGGTACCATGGCTCACGTGTTTAATCCCAGCACTTTGGAAGGCCAAGGTGGGTGGATTGCTTGAGGCCAGGAGTTTGAGACAAGCCTGGCCAACAAGGCAAAACCCTGTTTCTACTAAAAATACAAAAATTAGCCGAGTATGGTGGCACGTGCCTATAGTCCCAGCTACTTGCGAGGCTGAGGCAGGAGAATTGCTTGCACCCAGGAGGCAGAGGTTGCAGTGAGCCGAGATCACGCCATTGCACTGCAACCTGGGTGACAGAGCGAGACTCTGTCTAAAAAAAAAAGGCCAGGCGCGGTGGCTCACGCCTATAATCCCAGCACTTTGGGAGGCTGAGGCGGGTGCATCAGGAGGTCAAGAGATCGAGACCATCCTGGTCAACATGGTGAAACCCCGTTTCTACTAAAAATACAAAAATATAAAAAAAAAAAGAAAAAAATAAAAAAAAAAAAATTAGTTGGATGTAGTGGTGCATGGCTGTAGTCCCAGCTACTCGGGAGGCTGGGGCAGGAGAATTGCTTGAACCCAGGAGGCAGAGGTTGTGGTGAGCCGAGATTGCGCCATTGCACTCCAGCCTGGGTAACAAGAGTGAAACTCTGTCTCAAAAAAAAAAAAAAAATTAGTTGGATGTGGTGGTGTCCACTTGTGGTCCCAGCTACTCAGAATACTGAGCTGGGAAGATCATCTGGGCCTGGGAGGTCAAGGCTGCTGTTAGCCGTGATGGTGCCACTGCACTGCAGCCTGGGTGAGAGTAAGACCCTGTCTAAAGAAAGAGTCATAAAAAAACTCATGCCCTCAATGAAAAAAAAGGAAATATTACTAATATTTAGTAATGATAGTGGCAAGCATCAGCCACTCTGCCCTGTGAGTCAGAGCAGCCCAGTTAGCCTGAGTTCTATCTCAGGCGCTCTTGTTGCCCTCTAGAAAAACTGCACTTCTTCCTAGCAGAAGGGCTGCAGCTCAGACAGCATAAAGAGCACTGGACTAAATCCTGCCTCATGGCTGAGTCCGGTGACACTGGCCCTGTCATTTTGCATCTCTGACTTCTGTCTTCTCATGTGTAGCATGGCCAAAATAAAAATGGAAAGTCAGAGATGGATGGTGGCACAGATAACAGAAAGCTAGGAGCAGTGGGTTTCTCAAGAGGGAGACTAACTTTGAACAAGAGCTCAAAGAGAAATGCCAGATTATCTTTTCACAATGACTAAAGCAGGGAAGTTAAAAGGATGTATGTCTGCTGTGTTTCCTCTGCCTCTGTCTGAATCCATGCTTAGCCATTTGCCCCACAACTGTGTATTAAGCAATTAGGATGTGCCCCAGGCTGGAGCCTGGAGCTGCAATCACCTAAGACCCACAGAACTGTCCTGAGAATCAAATGCCATTCAAGATGAGATGTGCTTTGTAAAGTATCACCCACTGGTCACTTGCTGGGGTTTATTATTTCTGATGTTGTCTGGAAATCCCAGGTTTATCAAAGACATCTTGTTGGGTCTGAGGAAGCCAAGGGCCTACCTTGTAGACAAAGGTGCAAACAAAGTCAATGAAGCCAACTTGAAGCTTGGGGAGTTCATCTGCTTTGTTTCTGTCCATCATGGGCTGTCACAGGGGAGAAAGAGTTAACTGCACTGGGCAGTAAGAGAAACCCACTCTACCTATGAAGCATTCTTACCAAAATCAAACTGTAAACTCATCATGTTTCCAGACCTGCATTTTGCAGGACATAGGAGAATAGAGAAACATGCTAAAGAACACCATGAGGGTACAACCAACCAAATCCAGAATGCAGGAAACTGTACCAAAAAAAGGCCCACTGTCTTCAGCAAATAAATGGCATACCACAAAAAGGCCAGAGGGTGGGCGGGATGGGAGGGCCTGATACAGTTTAAAACAGACTTAAGAGACATAAAAGCCAGAGGCAGGATGCTCCTTGATTAGATCCTGATTTGAACAAATCAACTGAATTCTCTTTCTTAATCAAGAAAAACGAGCAGAAATTGGGGATTCGATGATACTAAAGTACTATTACGAATTTAGTGAGTGTGTCAATGGTACTGTGGTTATGTTTATGGTTTTGTCCATATTAAGCTCTTGTCTCATAGAGATACATACTAAAGTATGGAAGAGATTATAGTGTCTGAGATTTACTTTAAAATACTCCAGCCAAAAGAAAAAGAAATGCTCATTGGAAGCAATAGATAAAACAAGAATGGCAGATTGCTGCTAATTGTTGGCTCTGGTTGATGGGCACTGGAGTTCACTGACTATTCTCAACCTATTTGAAAATGTTACAAAGAGAGCGAGAACGACAAAGCCCATAGAGCCCTTCACGTGTTCCTTCATGACAGGACCTGCTCCTCCCAGCCTTCCACTCTCCCTTGGCTCCTGCCTAAGCCTGCCATGGTGCCCCTGTATCCTTAGCACACTTTCACAGGTTTAGCCTATCCAGGTGTCAATGGTTTGTCCCCAAAATGCCTCTCTCTTTTACCCATCCTTTCCAAACCCTGCTCTCCTTCCCAGCTTTGCCTTCAGGAACTTCAGGGAAACTTCAGGCTGCTCTCCCCGTCTCCCCATCTCTGTGGGAAGCTGGTTGACAGTCCCAGCCAAGTTGATAGGCACACAGCTTGCTGGCTCTGTGCTGTTAGGTCAGAGTCAGGGGAGGTAGATGGCCTTCTAGACCTTTGGAATTGAAAGGGCAATCTAAATGTTAGAGTCTTCTTGCCAAGCTCCACAGTTGAGTGAGCTAAGGACACATTTCTCAAACTTGAGGAGGGCTTACTTGGTAGATCACTCATTGCAGGGTCCCACCCCCAGAGCTTCTGGTCGGATAGACCTAGGGTGAGGCTTGTGAATATACATCCCTAACATGTTCTCAAGTAATGAGATTAACGAACACATCTTGAGAACCACTGCATCAGGAAAAGATCATCTTTACGGTAAAGTCACACATCTCTCCATCATAGCAAGGTCACGTCTAGGTCAGGATGGAGCACACACGCCTAATATCAGGCTGACATCCCCTCTGTACTTACGATGGGGTTCTGTTGCAGCACTGTGCGCTCCAGGTCACCTTGTTCCCAGAATTCGGCAGCCACCAGCAGAGCTACCTACAACACAGAGACCATCACACAGAGTCAAAGCCCCAGCCCAATCCCCTACCCCTGCTCTCACCCCACTTGCAAATCCAACTCAACAAAAAGGATAAACCCACCCCTGCCCTGCCACCCTCACTGTGCTGTCATTATTGGAGAGACCTAAAGTGATTCCCATGCCTTAGCAGGGGAGGATGGAACACAGGTGACCTGGTTCTGGAGCTGGGCTGAGAGAGTCCAAGCCTCATGACCTGCTGCCTCCAGTACTGGGATGCCCCTCCTCTTGGGTCAGCAGGAGTTCATACCTTGCTCTGCACCTCCCAAGGCTTGGTGATGGCTGAGAGATCACAGGCAGTCATCATCATGGCCCTGGGCACACAGACACCCTCTGTCAGTCTGGGGCCATTTAAGACTTTATGTACGGGTTAATTCCATCTCTCTTATCTCTCTCCACCCCCACTAGTAGGTGACTTCGTCTCATTGTGAGGAAAGGGCTCACCCCCATTGCATCTGGGGGTTGGGCTTTGAAATCAGATAGGGTTAAATCCTGCCTCTGAGGTTGGACATTGGGCAACTACACCAACAGCTCTGAGCCTCCATTTCCCTGCCTGTAATGATAATCGTGTTTTACTCACAGAGCAGGTGTAAGATTAAACGAGATGGTGGATAGAGAAATCTTAGCATAGTGTCTGGATGTGGTCCGTGCACAAGGAATATGTCCCGGGTTTTCTTATGTACCAAGCACTGTTTCAGGGACTGCACAAATATCGATTTCATTAAAATCTCATCGCATCTTCAGAGTCCCCTTGATCTTGGCTACGGTAGACAAGTGTTTCTCAACTTGTTTTCTCATCACCGTTCCCTGCCCCAACTGCCAAAGAGCCTTTTTAGACACTTTTCCTGTAACCACCCCACCATGAGCTTTAAATACCACAGATACGCTGTCCATCTGTTTGGAGAACTGCAGGCCATTGTAATAGCTAAGATTGCTCGCCTCCTTCAAGAATCACCTTTTGTACATTAGAGGCAATATACTCCTGTTTTCTTTTTCTTTTCTTTTGAGATAGAGTTTCACTCTTTCGTCCAGGCTGGACTGCAATGACGCCATCTCCACTCACTGCAACCTCCACCTCCTGGGTTCAAGTGATTCTCCTGCCTCAGCCTCCTGAGTAGCTGGGATTACAGGCACGCGCCACCATGCCTGGCCAATTTTTGGGTTTTTAGTAGAGATGGTGTTTTGCCATGTTGGCCAGGCTGGTCTCAGACTCCTGACCTCAGGTGATCCACCTGCCCTGGCCTCCCAAAGTGCTGGGATTATAGGCGTGACCCACTGCACCTGGCCATACTCCTTTTTTCTATCAGTCGGTTAGCTTTTCTGATTTAGGAGTTTTGTTTAATACTAATAGACTTCTTTCTCTTCTAAGCCATTTCCTCACCTGGCAGAAACTCTCACACAAAAAATTTAAAACGTAAAAAAAGAAAAAAAAGTATGGTGTAGAGAGAACTGTGAGCAGCTATAGTGAAGAGACCTTGCATTAAGAAGGAGTGGGAAGGGCCAGGCACCCTGGCTTATGCCAGTAACCCAGCCCTTTGAGAGGCCAAGGCGGGGAGATTATTTGCAATCAGGAATTCAAGACCAGCCTGGCCAACATGGTGAAACCTCGTATCTACTAAAAATACAACAATTGGTCGGGCATGATGGCATGCACCTGTAATCTCAGCTACTCAGGAGGCTGAGGCAGGAGAATTGCTTGAACTGGGAGGCGAAGGTTGCAGTGAGC